CTTCTCCAGCACCACAGCTCAAAGGCATCAATTATCTTTCTATCATCCCTAGTCACTGTCCAACTCTGATGCATAGCATGTAATTGCAAAGACTATAGCCCTGATCAGGCACAGCTTAGTCTCCAGCCTGACATCGTTGCTCTTCAGTACTCTTGAGAGGTCCCTCACAGCTGACTTTCCAATGCAATTCATCTCTTGATTTCCTGGCTGCTGTTACCAAGTGTGTTGACCACGGAGCCAAGTAAACTAAAACTGTTAACTATCTCAATCTCTTCACCATCCATACTGATGCTGCCTATTGGCTTAGTGGTGAGAATCTTTGTTTTCTTGATGTTGAACTTCAGTCCATATAGGAGGCTGCAGTCCACAAGCTACACATAATGAAAACGCCTGAACATAATTCAAACCTGGCTGGTTCTGCTTTCTCCTGCTTTGACTTCAGTCTCCGCATTTGAGGGCAGAGATGCCACCCACCCCTGTTGAAGTCCAGGCTGTTTCCTGTGCCTCCTGGTGACGCCCCCCCCCCAATGTGTGCCCCCCTCTCCTTCTCACAGTCTATGCTCTGCTGCAACCACAGGTCAACTCATCTCCAGAGCATCTTCCTGTCAGTCTGACCCTGTGTTTTCCAAGCATGCTGTCCTCCCCCAGGACTTAGCCCCCCACAGCGTGCCCGTGGTGTGTGAGAGGACGTCTCCCCATCCTAGCTTCTGAGGGGCTCCCCGGCTGTTCATCCAGGACAGTCCACTGCACACTGTATACCCTTCCCCAGTGTTCATCTGGGTTTTGGGTGCTGGCCCGGCCCTGACCTCTCTAGATCATGTCACACGTGAGCAGTAAAGTGGCCACTGACTGCCATTGTTGAACCTAATGGTCATGAAGTTCAAACATGGGGGTCATCAGGAGAAAGCTGTGGGACCCACCATAGGGATTCTTTCCCGGGACCTGCTGGGGCCTCTACCACCAAGTCTGGCCCCCTGGAATTCCTGGATTTGGGCTAGTAAGGTCCCCCATTTGCCCTGGAGATGAGCTGCGGGCTGCCTGTCTCACTGTGTGAAGAAGGTGTACCCCTACCTGAAGGGGGAGAGAAAACTCTCCCCCAGGAGAGCACAGGTTATGATTCCAGAATTCCCTGGGTTTTAGGCAGGTTGTGTCTGGTGCAGGGCCACGTCTCACTGGTCTTTCCTCAGCCCTGACTGACTACCTCCCCTCCCGCGGTGGCTGCTGGCCGGGGGTGCGCCCAGCTAATGCCGGGGCAGCAGATCCCAGGGCTCAGCCACGGTGCAGCCACTGCGGGAGGACATCCAGGTTAAGTCTGTGCAGCCAGCACCCTGGCGCTGTGTGCTGGGCGGGAGCTGCAGCTGCCCAGGGGACCACCGTGCCCAGCGGCCACCAGGCCTCCCCCGGGTGGGGGCCTCATTTCGAACCATGAGGGTGACCGTTCTCAGTGACCCTTTAGGGGTTCGCCCCTGAGGAGCCCTGTGGCCCCCAGTTTGTGTCTCCGCGTCGGACCTGGGAACTCAGCACCCACAGGTCATCCCAAGTCCCTTCTCTCCAGATAAAATATGGTGGTTCTCCATGGAATCCACGGATCTGGAACGTGCACTCTGCCCTCAGCCCCTCAGCGCTCCGTGCGCCCATGTTTAGGGCCAGGTCCTGGCGAGGTCGGGGCCCTGTGTGCGTGGGCGGTGCATTCGGTCCAGTGTGTCCTTTCATGGTGTCCTCACGTGATCACGACGCGCACTCCACGTCCTGCACCAGTTTTCCGAGAGAGAAAGGTCCACATTTTGAGAATGTGAGCATGAGGCAAGAGGGAGTGGCCAGAACCGGAGACCCAGCAGGTGCCCATCCCCATGAGAGTCTGCCCCTCGGCGTGGACGGGAGACCCTCCCGGGTCCAGTAGGTTTCCGTGGGTCCCGTCCTGAGCCTCTCTCCCGGGTGACGGCTCGGTTTTCCGCGGATCCCCAGTGTGTGCCTCCAGAGGTGGATGGACGAGGATGGAATGACCTTTGGAGAAGCTGAGCAGGACGCAGAAGTGGTCTGAATCAGGACCGAGCAGGGGCGTCCCCCATGAGATGCGCCGACGGGACACCCTCCCGGTTTGGTAAGGTATCAGCGGGTCCCAAACCTGCTCCCTCGGCCACACAGCGCGGGCCACCCTGGTCGTGGCCACAGCGCCCCCAGCTGTCAGCGCCGCGCACGTGCCGCCCGGCCCCGCCCCGCCGTCCTTGCCGCACTGCGCAGCCCGCCCCTCTCCATCTTCCTGCGCCATCCTGCTGCCTCCAGCCTCGGAACGCAGCTCCCGGCGCTCCGTGCAGCCTCCTGCCTGCGTCCTCCCGCGGCCGCGGCTCCTCCCGGGCGCAGGGCTCGGAGCGGCTCACTGTGCGTCATGGCGCGGGCTCTCCTGCAGTGCGGCCTCGGGCTGCTCCTGGGTGAGTAGGGGCGCCTGCACCGCGCACGACAGTGGCCCGAGGGACCGGCGCATCGCGGGCACAGGGACGCACCTGGGCACTGGTGGTTGGGGGCGCGGGCTCCCTGGCCAGCCGGCCGCTCTTGGGGACACCAGATGGAAGCCAGCACCTGGCACCTGAGGTGTTTAGGGACCAGGATCACCACCGTGGACTTGGAGATGTGCTGAAACCTGTAGGATGCCCGTGGTCACATGCAGGTGGCGGCAGTTAGATAATGCTAATAAATAAGCGAGCCATCACTGGGTGCTGAGGATAGGTCCACACTCATTACTCCTGACATTGCTCTGGGTGATGGAAGCTTTGACCAGACACACTCTTTCAAGAATGTGACGAGTTTTGTATCTGCGCAGAGAGGACAACTTGGAGCCTGTGGTGGTGCCGACTGTCCCACTAATCAAGAAACGGTCATCGTCTGTCGGCTGCGTAATCAGCAAACTCCCCAGACAGCCCCTGTCACCGTAATGCAATTTACTTAGCCATCTTATTATTTCAATATTCTATTTTTTAGGTGGAAGTTTACATAGCAATTTAGGTTCCCATTTAACAATTTTATACAATTCGTGCTATGCCAAGGAGCCCTAGTGGCGTAGTGGTTACGTGGTGGCTGCTAACCAAAACGCCAGTGGTTTGAATCCACCACCTGCCCTGGCACGGACAATGAGGCAGTGAGCTCCTGTAATGACTCAGCCGTGGGACAGGTGAGGACACCTATGACCACAGGGAGACACAACAGAAAGAGCCCCAGGTTGGCGGCTGGGGCCAAGTGGGCGTGGTAGCCAGGGGGAGGGATTTGGGTAGGTTTAGCCACTGGGGGGCATTGATGCTGAGTGCCTTCCAAAGGTAGGGCTGTGAGGGGAGATGAAGATGGCTGGGAGATGGCTTGGAAGGAGTTAGCCACTAAGAGGAACCTGTGTGAATGTGGCTATCTGGGGACAGCCCGGGAAGTGTGACCTCTGTGAGGTGGCTTTGAGAGGATGGGGCTCCTTGGTGGCTCTATGTGGTTCAAGAGTTCAGGGTCGTGGCTCTTGATGTGGTTTGTAGGGACGGGCTGGGGACAGACTGTTGCAAGGAAGAACTGGGCAGGAATGGCACCTGCCAGTCCTGGACTGTGGGTGGGAAGTCACACTGACCCCCATCAACCTCCTGGTCCCCACAGTGCATCTGCTCGAGGTGACCAGTGCCAACCCCACCCGCAAGCACAGCAGTTACCTCCCTGAGACGTGTCTCATGGACTCCCAGGATGACCTGCAGTTCATATCACCGCCAATCTGGTACAGCGTCTTCAAGAGCACCAAGTGAGTCCTGTGTCCTTGGACATGTGTCCCCCAGCATGACTGGCCAGAGAGTGGGCAGCAATCCTTCCTATGTGTGCCAGACCTGGGCGCAGCTCAGCCTCTGCTGCCCTGGGGTGACTGGAGGGTGAGAAGGGGCATGCACCCACAGAGATGTAGGTGGGGCCTGTGGAGAAGGGGCTAGCTTGACTCAGAGGACTGATAGTGGTTCAGTGTTGGGGGCCTCAAGGCTCTATGGCCAGAACCCCCACTCTTTAAGTGGCTCTGCCGTGTACCTCTGCCATCTTGCTCTCAGTCTGTCTCCTATAACCTCACATCTAGGGGTAACAGGGTAAGGGATAGAGGGAGGATCTAGGCTGCATACCAAGCACAGTACCCCAACTCTTCTGTCCCCCTCTGTTCCCTGCTGATTCATTGCCTGACACCACAGGCAGATCTGGGGTCTGTAACAACCCCCCCATACCCAAGGAATCCCTGAGACACTGAGAGTGAACCTGGCTCACCCAGCAGGCATCTGAATAGAGCAATCACACTGTCCATACGCTCACCTTGTATCTCTGCTTGGTGGTGGGCTGGGGCCATCCTGGGGATTCAGTGAATGAAGGGAAGAGCTACTCCCAAAAATCCTCTGGAGGGCATGGTCCCCCAAAATATCCATGAAAATACAGACAGGGGAGCGGCTTGGGTAATTAACACCCCAGCAACACCCTCCACTCTGCCTTCAAGTTCTCAGATGAACAGTGAAACACCCAGAGACAAATACCTGGAGCTGAGGCAGTATAGTGCCCCCCTGCCCGGGTGGGGTACTAGAAGGCCAGAGGGTGGGCTGGGGTTCTTGACTTGAGGGGAATGCTCTGGTGTCACGAGTGGGTCTGAAGATACGGTTCTGCCTCTTTATTGGAGGTCCTTTCTGAAGCTGCCCCCTCATAAACACACCATGTGAAAGGATAGCCCCGCCCATCAAGGGTTTCCCTACATTCCTCAAACTGATACACCTGGACTTCAGGGGATGTCCCCCAGAGAAGCAGCGTCCCAGTCCAGTCTCTGGGATCCCTGCTTTGTCCAGGTTCCCTCCACCAGGCAGGCAGCTCTGGGCACTCTGGCAACCTCTGAGCACCATATCTATGGAACACCAATCCATGGTCACCCCCATGGACAACTTAGCCATGGACACCCCCATGGACTGCCCAGCCATGGTCAAGGCAAAAACGGGATTTTAAGGTCTGCCAGCTCTCGTGTACACAAGCGCAAAGGTGGGGCTGCTAGGAGTCTTCTTTTGCGTTATAAAAGGAATCTCCGATAACTAAAGGAAAAAGAAGCAAAACAACTCCTGAAGAGATTCAGGGTCACACACACACACCCCGGGGAGACAGGCTGGGGGCTTGTGGGAAGCCCCCCCATGAAGGTGCCCTGAGCCAGAACCCCTCGGCAGCAGTGGGTCTGGACTCTGCTGAAATAGGTCCCCAGGCCTTAATTCTGTGGGGTTCTGGGTGCACTGCTTTAGGACTCAAATACTTAACCATCTACACCACAAGAGAGCCCAAAACCAGGGAGCCAGCACTCACCTGGGACTGTGCTGATGGGCACAGTGCCTCCCTCACTTCTCAGTGGGTTCTAGGGGTGGAGTATGAGACCCCCCTGCTGCACCTCCCTCAGAAGAAGGGGGCTCTCAGGGTACTGGTAGGGGGTTTGCATCTCTATTTCTCAGAGCCTTTGTCATCGACAGTGACCACCTTGGGAGTCAGGTTGGTTCTGAATTTCAGAGGAGCCTGGAGCTGGCTTTTTATTGCTGTTTCAACAGTGGTCTCCCCTCCCCATGGGCATGGGGCACTCATGTCATCAGGAGGCAAGTGACAAGCCAGGAGTGGGGGCAGGTCCAGCCTCTGTCCCACCCCTTCCCCACTGGGTTGTGGGGTTTTCTTTAAAAGTTGTAAAGCAGCACCTTGCCCCATGGACTGAGCACGGAGTGGACACCTAGGAGCCTGGGTGGTGCCCTGGGTGAAGCACTCGGCCGTAAGTCAGCAGTTCCAACACATCAGGTGCTGGGTGTGCAGAAGCTGAGGCCAACCCTGCGTGGTGTCCTCTGAGTTGGAACCCACTCCTCAGGTGTGGTGTGGCTTGGGGGGGGTTGCACATTCATTGCCATGAATGGATTACTCAGAGCGCCCTATGGTCCAAGGAGAACTGCCCACAGGTCCGAAGAGCACTTTGCCTCTCCTCTCCTAAACTGTGTCTGTTTGGTTTGTACCACTGACCATTCACTTGGCTCCTGGCGATGCCAAGTGCTTTAAGCATGGCATCAAAAGGGAGGTTTGGAGTCAGTATCATCTTTTTAAAAACAACAACAACATGAAACCCACTGCCATAGAGTTGATTCTAGCCCATGGGGAGACTCATTAGGTTTGCAAGGGAGCAAACTTAGGCCACTCCACTCCCCATTTTATTCCCATGGAGCAACAGGTGGATCCGAACAGCTGATCTTTCAGTTAGCCAAGCACTTCACCACCACGCCACCAAGGCTGCTCGTGGATACCTGGGGAAGAACATTCCAGGCTGAGGGAGATAGAGGAAGAGGGAGGATGAGAGACTGTCAAGTGCTGCTCCCTGGGGGAACTGACCTCAAAATGCCACCATGCACCATTCTGCCTCGTGTGTGATTCCTGAACCCCTGGCCCCATGAGTGGGAGGGCCTGCCCTCAGCCCCAGGACCACATCCCAGCACTGTGACCCAGCGCCCTCACCTCCAGGCAGGCCCACGTCCAGGCGAGGCGTCCCAAGTTTCCTGGCCGGGGAGGGCCTGTGGGAATCTCTAGTGGGAGCCGGTTCGAGCCATCCTGCCGCTGGGACTCCCACCTTTCTTACCTCTGCAGGACCGACGGGGAGCTCACTGAGTGCGCCAGAGACGAGGGCAACAGCCCCGTGTGCAAATGCACGCTCAGCAAAGCGAAGCGCTCCAAAGACTCGGAGCCAAAACCCTTCACAGACTGCCCCTTCGACTACCCCCACGGCATGCTCACCTGCCCCTTCTTCGTGGTGCCATTCGTGGTCACTGTGGTTTCCGTCCTGTGGCTGGTCAGGAAGCTTGAGGCCAAAGCCAAGGCGCAGACACAGAGCGCATAGAGGGCTCCTCCCTGACCACACCAGGCGCCCCAGCCCACGTGCCCTCTCCCCACCTGGGAGGCAGCCCCCAGTCCCCTCTGCCTGCACCCCAGAACACCTGCAGGATCCTGGGCCCTCGCTCACGCTTTCACCTTGAGACCCTAAGCTGGGAGGTGGCGGGACACCTCTGCTGGGTTAGGTGGGTCCCTCGCTCTGCTTCTCCCGTCATGGAGCCCCGCTCCCCGCTGCTCTGACGGCTCCACCGCTTCCGCTAAGATCCTCGTGGTGACACTTTGTGATTAAACAATAAGCCTCCACGTGCCGAGCGTCCTCCTTTCCACGTCTTCACCTCCCCTGCGGGCAGTGGTTCCCCGGCGGACACTCGGGTTCGAGTCCCGGCCAGGAGCCCGCATGCGCAGTGCCCACCCGCCCACGGAGCCCTGTGCGGAGCTCTGATGCGGAGCTGCTTTGAGCAGAGCTTCCTGATGGAGACAGAGGAGGAAGAAAGGCCTGGCGGTCTCCCCACAGGCAGCCAGCCCAGCTCCCGGGGTCCCGGGTCCCCAGGACGGAGCGGAAGCCGGCAGGGTCGTGCGGGGTCCTACCTGGGGTCCCCGCGGGGACTCAGCCCTGGGGAGTAGGAGGCTGGGGGACCCGGTGGGAGACGCGGGCTGGACCCCACGGGGTGACGTGCGGGGTCCCTGGGGTTCTGATGGCGCCGCCCCCGCACAGAGAGGACCCCGCGCAGGGATGCGCTCGCGCATGCGCACAGCTGTGGTCAGGCCGGCGACCCCCCCCCTCCCCAAGGAGGCCCCGCCCCGGACGCGCGGACTCTGCATGCGGTTCCCGGCTGCTCCGTGCTCCCCGCAGACCCCCCCCACTCACGCCCGGCTTCCAGAGGTCGGCACCCAGGGGGGACCCCCAGAACCCCTCCAGTGTGCTCCGAGTTACCCTGGTCGTAGGTCCCTGCAGCCCCCCGCCCCCACCATGCTCCCTCTCCGCCCCCAGCCCTTCTAGGTGGCTGATGGGGGTCCGCCCCCAGCACCCCGACGCTGTGTTCTCCCTCCCCCAGCCTGACCTGGTCAGGACTGGGGTGCAAGGCCAGCCCTTCTGGACTGTCGGCCTCGGACCAGCACCGTGTGCGGCCAGGCTCTGAGTTAGCCCCCTCCCTCCTGGGCCGTGTCCACCCCTCGTGTCCCCACACTGTCCCAGGATCGCACACCGCGGCAGGACAAGGGGGCCTGGGCCTTTAGGGGGGCGTGGCCGGCGGGGTTTAGGGGCCCCGAGCTTCCTAGAGGGACCTGGGCTCAGAGGACCTGTAGCGTCTGCTGAGAAGCGGGGTGGCGCTGCAGGAGGGCGCGGTGCACCTTGTCGGTGAGCAGATGTTAGTATGAATCTTGACCCTTCCACCCGATTCCCATGTCTACCTGGGGTCCGAGCCAGAAATTGGCAGTATTATGGGTCCTTGTAATTGGGCAGACAGCTGATCAAAGGGGTGAGAGGAGGCCGGGGAGACAAGCGTGGGAACAAGACAGCAGTCCGTGAGGAAGACAAGATCTGTGTGGTTTCTTGTTTGGTGCCCTCGAGTCTGCAGTGGCCACAACAACAGATGAGCTGAGATCTGAGCCTTCCTCCTCGGCCTCATCTCTGTGGACCCTGTCACGCTCAAGTCTGCTGTTGTGATCACTGTGCCAGTCATCTCATTGAGAATCTTCCTCTGCTCCCTGAACCCCCACTTTCCCCAGCATTATGTCCTGTTTTCCAGGTCTGATCCCTCCTGACAACATTCCCAGAGTCTGTGAGATGAAGGTCACCATCCTCTCCTCTCAGGAGCACGCTGGTCGCACTTCTCCACCACAGATTGGTTATTTCGCAGCCCGTGGGATTTTCCGCACTCCTCACCAACATCACAATCAAAGGTGTCCATTCTTCATTGGTCTTCCTTATTCGTTGTCCAACCTTCAGATGCATACTAACCAATTTAAAATACTATGACATGGATCAGCTATTTTTTTTTAATTTAGGTTGTTTATTTTTCATTTCAATGAACATCTACAGAGATTTTGGGATTCCATTCATTCATTGTTGCACCCTTCTCCCCGCATCAGCTATTTTTAAAACTGACCTCTGTACAACATAGCACGTTAAAGAATTCCTTGGCAGCAAATTTTCCCAATACAGCAACACTCTTGATTTCTTGACTGCTGCCTGGGTTGTTAATGGTGGATCCAAGTAAAATTAAATACTTGTGTAGTTCAAACGTTTCTCCATTTATCGTGACATTGCCTATTGCTACTTGTATTTTATTGACTATGCAAAGACATTTAGTTGTGTGGACTGAATGAAATTAAATTATGCACAACAATGAGAAGGTTGATAATTCTGAGACACCCCCCCCCCTTAATAGTTCTCATGGGAAATCTGTCCATGAAGTGAGAAGCAGTGGTTTGAACAGAACTAGGAGATACTACATCATTTAAAATGGGGCGGTGTGGGCCAGCTTACTGTTCTTTCCATACCTGTTCAATTGATATGCTGAACAAGGAATTCAAGAGCCTGGACTATAGGAAGAAGAATGGAATTGGGATTGGAGTAAGACTTAATCAACAATCCACATTATGCAAGAGACACAGCATTGCTTACAGAAATTGAAAACCTCTTAAAGCTTCTGCTGCAGAAGATCAAAGACTCTAGCCTTCTATACGAGTTACACCTCAATATCAAGACAGCAAGAATGCTCGCACTGGAACAATAGACGGCATTGTGATAGAGGCAGAGTCAACTGAGATTGTCAAGGTTCCATTTTACTTGGATTCCTAACCAACACTGAGGGTCGTGACAGGACATCAAAAGACATATCGTGTCCATGTATCTTTGGAAACTGTCAACCGTAGCAGTCTTTCTGTCTAGCCATGGAGGATGGTGTCCTTGCTTATTGGCAAAACTGTCGCCATTTAATTGCTATCAGGTTACTTGCACAAGTAACATTTTTACCTCTTAAAAGCCTGTAGTGCACTGGGCTATTGAACAGACTTTTCTAGTTGTTAAAATCCTTCTAGGTTGCTGATCTATCTCACTTCACAACCAAAGAAGGAAGAGGCTAAGCATCCCAGAAAACACGAGTGGTACGAGGAGAGGGAAGTTTTGTTCGGTATCTTTCACTGAATCATCTAATTTAATGTTAAAGTCTTTGAACTGCTGGTGACTAGTCTGTTGAGGTTCTGGGAAATACTGGTGCTTTATTTTTACCAGAGGAACGAATTGACACGAAACCAAGGTGGTTTTTGATTGAGTCCCCTGCCCCAGAAAAACCAGGGCGGGGGGAGACATAGCGTACTGAGCACCAATCTCTTTAAAGTTTAAGCGACAAGGATGTCAGTTTAAATACTAAGGCAAGCCTAACCGAATCTGTGGTTTTTTTAACTTGCATCATATGCATGTTAAAGTTGTAAAAAACAGTAGGGCAGCCCAAGGAAGAAGTGACCCCATTTGAGTTGGGGTGTTTGTGAAAATTATTGAATAAGCCATGGCTGTAAAGAGCATACAGGACAAATGGATCTGTCTTGGAGAAACTGCAGCCAGGCTGTACTTTGCAGATAAGGATGGTTAAAATTTGTCTCACTATTTGGATCATATTGTCAAGAGATTCCCGTCTTTGGAAAAATACATGATGCTTCGAAAAGTAGAGGATGAGTGAGGGCAAAGGGTCACCCAATGAGATGCCTTGAGCATGGCAGACGTGGTGTACAGATCAGGGCAAGGTTTCCATCCATTGTTTATGGGGTCGGTATAAGTCATAATTAGCTCCACAATACCTAACAACAATAACAACAGCATTTTGTAGCTACCAGTTTTACGCGTGTTTACCACATCTTTGTTTTATTACTGTTAGATGCCATCAAGTTGAGTATGACTTATAGCAACCCTGTGAATAAAAGATCTGAAGTCTGTTCTATCCTGTGCCATCTTCACACATCTTGACACGGTAAGCCCATTGCATCAGTCACTGCCAATCCACCTGGTTGAGGGTCTTCCTCTCCTTTGTCAGCCCTCTACCCTTCCAAGCATCATGTCCCTCTCCAAGGAATAACCCCCCTAATAGCAACATGCTCAAAGTATGTGAGGTGAAGTCTCATTATTCTTGCCTCCAAATAGCACTCTGACTGCACCCTCTCCAAGACACATTTGTTTGTTCTTTTGGCAGTCCATGGGCTATTCAGTACTCTTCTCCAACACCACAGCTCAAAGGCAGCAATTCTTCTGTCATCTTTATTCACTGTCCAGCTCTCAGACACATAGCGAGTAATCAGAAAAACCATGGCCTGAATCACATGCACCTTAGTCTTCAAACTGATATCATTACTCCTCATTAATTTGGAGAAGTCCCTAACTGCAGACTTTCCCAGTGCAATATGTCTCCTGATCTCCTGACTGCTTGTGTCAAGGATGTTAATTGTGGATCCAAGTAAGATGATGTTGTTGGCTGTTTCAATTTCTTCTCCATCCATCATGATGTTGCCTTTCAGTCCAGTGGTAAGAATGAATCTTTTGTATTATTGATGTTGAGAGGCAATCCATATTGAAGGCTGCATTCCTTGATCTTGTGTGACAAGTGCTTCAAGTTCTCCTCACTTTCAGCAAACAAGGTTGGGTCATCAGCCTAACGCATGTATTAATGAGTCTCTGTCCAGTCCTGATGCCACATTCCTCCTCGTAGAGTCCAACTTCTTGTAATTTGCTTAGTGTACAGATTGAATAGGTGTGGAGAGAGCATACAACCCTGATACACTCCCTTAATTTTAAACCAGGCAGTGTTCCCCTGCTCCTCTCGCACAACAGCCTCCTGGTCCAGGTATAGGTTCTGCATGAGCACAATCAAGTGCTCTGGGATTCCCATTCTTCTCATTGTCAGCTACAACTTGTTATGATCCACACAGTCAAATGCCTTTTTATAGTCAATAAAGCACAAATAGACATTCTTCTGGTATTCTTTACTTTTATCCAGGATCCATCTGACATCAGGA